ACAAAGAACGGTGACGTTCTTGAGTCCGCTGTTGTGGGGTTTTGTATGCAGGGACACATCTCACGTCACTGTGACACGATCACCGGGCAAGCGCGCGTTTGGTGTATACGTATTTGGCCGCTATCGGACCGAGTGTCTGGTGCTGTTTACCTGTCGAGAGGCAGACCGGGTGTCGCCGATCAGGCGACCGATCCAGCTCATGCAGCCATGTGTTGACGACGGCTGTTGTCATGCGCTGGGCCCTGTTTGCCTAACTCCAAGAACAAAAGAGTATACTTCCGACGTCGTTTGCTGGCATCATGAGAAGTGCCTTTCTCTTTGCTGCGCGTACGAGCGTGCGTGGCCCGTGCGCTCCTCCTTCGCGTTTGTTACAGCCAAGGGGGCGATCGCGATCCCACCCCAAAGTTCTCCGTGCTGGTGAAAATAAGGCATGGAAGAGGGCCGCTCGATCGACGACGCAAGAGCAACGGACGTTACGTAGTGTCACAACCGCAACCGCACACTAGCGACGCCCACATTGTATGCAGTATCGATTTCTGTACAATTTCGTATGCGCATGCTATAACTTGAGGCGTGTCGCAAGACAGACATACTTGTCAGATCCATCTGGCGTCCCGCCGCTTGGCAACTTGCTCGCACATTTCATTTTTCCCGTAAGAGGACAATGAAGTACTTCAACCCGCATGGACCAGCCCCCAAGCGCAAGCCCAAGGTGCCCGTCAAGCCCACCGTCACGGGGGTGTGGTCCCCGGACGAGCACAAGCGATTTCTGATTGCGCTCGAGCAATTCCCCCACGGCCCTTGGAAGGCGATCGCGACCCACGTCGGGACGCGCACAGCACGCCAAACGCAAACGCACGCGCAGAAGTACCGTCAAAAGCTCATTCGGAGGGTGCCCTGTCCCGACCAAGCCAAAGACGTCATGTTCAGCCTCGTCCAGGCCGACTTGAGCGAAACCCTCGCTGATAGTAGCGCGGCGTCCTCCCCGCGACAAGTTCCCGTCGAGGTCAAGGCCGAAGACGACGACAACATATCCAACGTAGTCGACGAACTCAACAACGCTCTCACGTTCCTGCCATCCCTCGACACGTGCTTGGACTTTTTCTGGCATACTCTAATGGTCGAGTCAGATCCCTAGCTCTTTAGTCTGTCCGATATTTATAGTACCGAGTTCTCTTATATTTTGACGTCCAATTCTAGCATAAATCATAAACACCACCTCCGTAAACTATACATGTTTCACTTCGGTATGCGCTCGAGGCATCGGCCGTATCGAGGGCATAGAAGACTTGATCGCAGCAGTAGTCTCGCCTCCATTTGATCGAAATATTGTTTCATTTTGAGCCAAACGAAGTTGTCTTGGAGAGAAGTGGAAGACGCGGGGCCACGTGCACCTTGCGCCGCGACTCGAGAGCGTGGTTGAGTGCCTTTAGATCTTCCATGATCTCCTCCTCGCTATGTTCCATGATTACGTAGACACCAGTCCCATGCATAAAACAGCGTCATACCGGTCCGTCAACTGCGTGCGCAACAAGCTCATCTCAGACTCCTGTTCGTCGTATGGTGGTGCCGGTTGGGTCCGTCCGCCCTGGACGGTGCGCGTTGGTAGGCGAGGAAATCGGTCGGAACGCTCGTTGAGGAATGGAGAGAGCGCACCCTACACACGTACACGTGAAACCCTAACCCGGTGTTGGCGCGTACCAGCCGTGTCCGCGCCTCGGCCCGTCGCCGGAGTTTGTCGCGCTTGATGCGATACGTTATGCGGCAGTAGAACCCTCGAAAGCACGCTTGGATACGCGTCGCCGCCGTGATCTGCCGCAGAGTAGGCTTGCGTCGAGGCAGTTTTTTCTTGGCTCTGGCGTGGCCGTCGTTCCACGCGCGGACTGGGAGCTTGTCCAGCTGCAAGTGCGGTATCACCGACCGTATGTTGGTAGCCGTGTTTTTCTGCTGCCATGGCGCCAGTGATGAGGTCGGAACCGAGAGATACCATGGCTGCACGACCACGGGATGCGGCACCAGCGGTGGGATCGACCGTCGGCGTGTCGATGGAGGTGTCTCGGAGCGCGCAGGCTTCGGCGCGGGTTGCTCTCTCCGGCTTTGATTGGTGTTGACGGTCAAAGAGACTCGACGCGCTCCGTGTGGCGAGGCAGCTGGTGAGCCTTGGTTTGGTTGGAACTCAATGATGCGGTCCACCTCGTCCATCAATAGGTCGCTCGCAACTTCCATCTCGGTCCCGTCAGTATCAACCTTGCGCTTCATTGGTGTATCTCGGATCGATGCCAGTGCATTGGCCGGCACCCTGCACGAGTCGGCAATACGTCGGGGGCCATCAAGTCGAGCACCACCGTCGATACTCATCGTGGGTGATATATCATCTGTTCGTACTGGCATTGCAGCATCCGAGATCTCGACCCACTGGCTCTCTCGGTAAACATTGTCAGACGGTGCCGCCGGCCCCTCGGGCATGGCATTGGACTCGGTAAAGCTTGCGCTCGTCAGTAGCACCATGGTGACCACTGGTTCGATCCTCGGCGCGTCCAGGGGCGTTGGCGGCCGAATGGAAGTCGACATCTCGGTATCGCGGCGGTCCGTCGTAGCCTCGAGGGCCAGCGCGGGCTCGTTCTCAATGCCACCGTTGTAGCGACTAGAGACGACGCCGTTGATCTGCTCGCTGTCCGCTGTTCGTTCTATCTCTTGTGCGACCGATACGACGTTGGTGTCCACTGGGTATACCGCGACAGCGCATGTAGAGTCTGGCGACGACATACAGTCCGTCTCAACGGTGGGCCCACTCGCTTCACTTGCGAGAGGCATTGTCTGTAACGTTGTCGCTACATTGCGCAGTCGCAAAGCAACTTGAACGCTGGTGAACGTAGCGCGTGCATTCTGTATCCCCTTGGTCGATTGCGTCAGCGGGTCTTCTAGCGGTTGGCCATCAAGCGGTGCCGCTGCTGCGTTGCCAGCGTCAACTCGTATCGGTACTTGCCGGCCTGATCGTCGCACAACAGTATGTGTCGGCAACGGCTTGCTCGGCTCGAGATCGGTGCTATACAAGTACCACATGACATCAGCCTCTGTACATGACACACGCACTCTCGATGCAAAAACCGAAAGCGACGAAGGCTCGACACAAAAATCTGCTCCTCGTCTTGGACAAGGTCGTCGAGAACGCTGGTGATCGCGCTGTCGACAACTTGTCGTGTATAGTCGATGACGACCGGTGCATAAATGCGTTGGATGCACACGTCGATGGCGGCCTCCAAGAGGCCACAGACGACGCGGTTTTGCATGGCATCGACAGCAGCGAGAAGTCGCAAGCGTCGCTGCCACCGCCACTCGACCCACCGCACCGTCCTACAGCGATCGTTCCTCTAGCCTTTGCAGTTTTGATGAAAATACCACAGCAGTCGCCGACGGGCGGCTTCAACGACCGGGTACAAGACGATGCGTAGGGGGTGTTCGGCAAAGACGCGCTTGGATGTACGGTGCGCGTACCTACATATAACAAGGTCGATGGCGCGACCACGACTGAAGCATTTACCAAAGTTGATTTTGGATGCAGTGCGTAGTAAAGGCATTGGCTTGCGAGAAGAGCCACTGCAGTGCGTCTACCTGCAGAGGTAGCCGCTTTGCGATGGCCATATCGAGCGCCGGCGGGTACAGACTCGAGAGAAGGTCCGACGTCGTCATCTGAGATGGTGACAAGGCCGTGGCCGGCGTCAAATGTCGAGCGATTCCAAAATGCTCATATCTACGATGTGGGCTATAAGAACTATCTTACTCTAAGTAAGGAGAGGGTGCAAGACCGGAGAAAGAGGAGCGAGGCTGGGCGCAAGGGCGATGCGTGGGACGCCACCCGCTTGAGCTTTTTGAGAGCCGACGGAATCGCTGTCGTCAGAAAAGTATGGTTGATGGCGACGAGGATGTCTCCGACCATGACAGCAAGTTGACGGTCTTGCGCATGTGGTACTTTGGTCACGACAACAATGCCTTTGGACGTAGAGGAGAGCGGCGTGGTTGTCAGTGCATAGGGCGCTTGTGCTGCGAGCTAGCACACGCAATAATTTTTCGCAAAAATCGCAACAAAATTACCTCGAGACCCCAGGTCTGCGCGCTCGACGTCGTAAAGTGCTCGCAGTACAACGCGTCTCGTGCGTCACTGTTTAGATTGAGGTGCGCGATATCTATACATATCATGGACACATATTGTCCACGATCATTCGACAAACATGGAATCTTCATTTCTGGCCAGAGGGACTCGTCCAAGAGAAGCGCGCAGAAGTGTTGCCATATTTTGTCTTCCAGCGCCATGACAATCTACGCGCTTACTGGTCGTCTCCAGTGTTACCCCCTTGAAACGAGACTGCGTACCTCGTCCCATGAATACAGTGAGGTGCGCAGCCGCGTCTGCGTCTCGCGCCACAGTTGCCACGCGCGGGACGTGTACGCCACAGCTTTGGGGTGTCCATCGTCGGCATAGAGAGTATACGACGGCGAAAAGTACCACGTCACGTCGTTGTGGGTGAAGGTAGTAAGCTCAAACGGCGACGACAGCGGTGGTCGCACGAGGTGCAGTGCTACGTTGGCATCGGCATAGTCGTGTCGGAGGAAAAGGAGGTGCGTCGGCGCAGTGTCAGTCGCAGCACGCAATAGCAAATGCATTTCGAGAACGTCGAGTCCGTCTACCGCCACCCATACCATTCTCCAAACTCTTGCAAAATGGAGAATAATCTACCGAGCTCAACGCCGTTGACCGCCACGAGCTGGTTGCCGACGGCGACGGCGTGGAAATCGCTTCCGTCGACGGGCAGAATCGACGTCACAAGGAGACTGCCAGAGAGATGTTGCACCGCCGTGTCGGACTCAACGTTGCGCAGCGGCAGGCGCGTATCGTCCACCCGCAACTCGAGCTACAGAACAGCATGAGCAAGTTGGATATCTACAGACGCGTACCTCAAGGCTCCAGTAACGATGTGAAGCGATGGTCGCCCAGGGCGCTGATGTCGTCACGACATAGAGTGCTTCGGGCAGCAAGATTTGCACCATTTCGACGGCCCCGGTCGCTGAAACCGACAATGGCCGCAACGCTCAAGGTTGTCGAGCGCCGTCGACGGGCGCCGTCGAGTCCGATTCGTGTCCAAGCACCCGTGGTACCCGGTCCGGACGCCCTTCTCGGGCAGTGGCACAAGGCAGCGATCGCCATGTATGACATTCGGCGCGCCCTCGAGGTCCCTTGCGAGGCGCAGGAGCCGTCGAGCGGACAATTGACAATGGGGTTGCTCGAGATGCCGCTCGAGGTATTTCTCAAAGGCGAATGATTTCATTGTACAACCTGTGTGCAGAGCGACGAGTCGATCATTGCGATGAACAAACGACTGATTCAAGAGGTGAATAGCATTCTGTCTGGCACGTCAATGTGCATAAGGACACATGTAGCGGAATGCCCTCATGCAACAAAAAGAGATTTGGCAAGCCGAGCTGCAAGGCCAACATGACAGTCTTCAAGAGGTTTCGCATTCAACCTTGACTCCGTTTAAACTCGGTGGTGTAGGTCCTCCTAGCCACGCGACAGCTCAAGCTCAAGCTACAAACACAAGCGACACTTGATGGGCCGAGCGCCTAAATGCATACCACCACGTCTACAGAAATACTTCTCATTGAGCGTGCGAGACTGTCTAAGGTGTCGGAGTGCAGGAGGGTATCACATACGAAAGGCCAACCTGCGTTGCAGTGGTGCGTGTGTTAAATATGGCACATGCCATATTTAATATTCTTCTTCTGCTAGTCAAGGGTCACTGATTATTGACCCTTGACTAGTATGGTGCTACGGCTCAGCATTGCTTTGAAGCGAACGACGGGTTTGATAAGAACCATCCAAAGGAACTAAGGGCAGACAAGGAACACGTATCGTATTCAGAAAAAGTAAAAAGCCGTAGAAGTTGACTAACTAATTAGTTGACAGGCGCATCCATCGACGACGTGCGCGCCTTGAAAGGGTTGCGAAACGTACCGCGCTTCTTGGACGGCGACAGAACAGTGCTTGTTGGGGTCTCGGTCATGACGACCTCGCCGGCACTCACCGCGTCCGTCTTTGTCTCCGACACCGATGGTCGTGTGGTCACCTGGGGCGTGAGCTTGTTGATCGAACCGGTTTTCGCAACGTCGTTCGTCACCGGGTCGGTTGTTTCCGCCGGCGTCTTGACGTCCTTGGATGCCACGACAGTGTCGTTCAGCGCTTGGTTGGACCCACTCTTGACGTTGGCGACCAAGCCGAGTGGGTTCACCTTGGGCTTCTCCACCGATTTGATGGCCGACTTGCGTTTTGGCTCGTCTGTTGCGGGTGCTGTTTTGACGGCCAAGTCACTAGCGACGGGCTTAACGAACGGCTCGCCTTTGGCCTTGTTGAAGAGACCCGACATTTTTTTCTTTTCAACCACAGGTAGCGGTGCAACGGAGGCACTTGGCTCAGTGACAGGCGCCGTCGGCGAGCTGGCCCCAGTGGCGGTGGCACTCGAAACACGGTTGATTGTCGGTGCACTGTCTGACGTCGGTGTCACCTCGCTACCGGTGGTCGACTCGACCGTAGCTGGTACTGACGAGGCCTCGGCAACGGGACCGGTAGTCTCTTTATCTTTGTCCTTGGTGCCAAACTTGGCGCGCCAGCCAGTTGCTACGGGTTTCGCGGGCGTGTCCCCCGCTGATTCGCTCTTCTGGAGCGCCGGGGGGGATGCTGTCTTTGCTGGCACCGACTCGCTTTTCTTGAGCTCCGTGGCAGCCGTAGTGCTTTGGGTGGGATTGACAGGCGGAGCAACGTCTGGCACGCTCACAGCAGCAGCTTCTGTCGACGCGGATGCTTCGACGACGGGGGTCGTTGTCTCCTTGCCCTTCTCTTTGGTGCCAAACTTCATGCGCCAGCCCGACGTCGTGGGCTTGGGTGGTGCGTCGCCCGCCGAGTCACTCTTCTTGAGCACCGGGGGAGATGCTGTCTTGACGGGCACCGACTCACTCTTTTTGAGCTCGGCGTCCGTGTCTTTGGCCTTGGCATTCTTTGTCCAAAACTTGGTCGCTCGCTTTTTGTTGGCTTGGACGTCCACGACAGGGCTCGTCGTATCGATGTCTGCCTCGTCGACGGGCGGCGTCGGGGGTGGCGCCGTCATCGGCGTGTCGCAGCTCGTCCGCGACAGGCTTCGAACGTTGCCATCACCGTCGACAAACTGAAGATGGCGCGACGGTGCCTTGTTTGTGTGTGCTATCTCGCTCAGCGCCACCTTGTCGCCTTGGGCTGGCTTGTACGCTGCCTCGAGCGATCGAAGGACGCTGGCATTGGCTTTGGCGATCTTCTTGTGCTTGGAGTCCTTCTCGGCCACGACTTTGGGGTCGATCGCGTTGTTCTACTCAGAATGAACACGTCAACCTTGTGGCCGCCAAGATTCGACTTCGAACGCACAGATTTGTACACGATAAACGCGGGCTCGGGCACCAGCTGCGTCGGATCCAAGACGTCGCCCGGCGGCAAGCCTGCGCGCGGATCGGTTGCGTACTCGAGCTTGACGCCGCGCGCGTGCATGCGGTTCGTCACCGTCGCCGAGCGCTTCACGACCCCTTCCTTGCTCCAGTAGAGCGCTTGCGAGTCCATTTTGGAGTACCCGGCGCGGGGCGACGCGACACTACTGTGGCTCGTACTTGGCGACGCGATGCGGTCGATGGCGCGGCCTTTCCCGAGCACATGGTCCAAAATGTGCTCGGACATGGGCGGCAGCGCATCAATGTCGCTGATCGAGATGCTGTGGGTGAGCGAAGGGTGCGATGACGTGTCGGGCGTCGACGCAGCAGACGCCAACTCGGCTTTGGGTTTGCGCGGGCTCGGGAGCCGGAACTGCACCATCTTGGCGTCGAGAAATCGAGGCAAACCAAGATTGACGACTGAATATAGATGCGAAACGAGTCACCGCGCACTAAGTTTAGACAGGCGCCACCAAGTCCCTTGTTTCGGCATGTGCCGATTTGAAGCCGGCGAAGATGAACCAACACGCTAACATATTTGCCAACGAGTTTCGAGTTTTTGAAGTGTTGGAATTGCTTGCTTTCGCGAGGCAATGGAAGCTAAGAGTGGCTATTCGCACGCACCGCTCACACTATTCCGCTACCTTTCATAGTGCAAAGGTGGCTAGAACGCGGCAGTGTCTCCCACGACTTCAACTCAAGAGTCGAACAAGTTGATACTATTTGAGCTGGCGCTTGATTGTTTTCTGAAGGAGCTCCCGCACAGAGCTACGGCTTGGGTCGATCACGGCCCACTCGCCTTGGGACATGCTCTTCTCGTTCAACAACCCTGCGTCTTTGTACACGAGCGCCTTCGACGCTGATGACGCCGAGAGCGGTGGGGCGTCGGTCGTTGATGGCGCCCACATGTGCCTCTCGTCGTCACCGCCGCCGTCTGAGTCGACCCATGACCGGCTGGTCGACATGCAGTCGTCAGAGCCCAGTGGTGGGAGACCGTAGGGATCCGGCGAGTACTTGAGGCCCAAGTTGGACGCTGTGGGCGGCAGTGTCGGTGGCGCCACCTTCTTGGGCTCCTCAAAGGTCTAGGCAGCCGATCGTTGCGTTAAAATATGAGAAAAAGTATATACCATATCCCACGTAACTTGTTGGACGAGCTGGTCGCAGAAGCGACAAATGGGCACCTCGTCATAGCACTTTGGGGGGCGGTACTTGGCGTTTTCTTGATCGGGGGGGGCGAAGGCCCACTGTTTGTAGAGCTCCATGATACAGCGAAAGCTCACTTTCGCCGGCAAGTTGATCATAAGGAACGGGACGTGGCACAGTGCACACTCGCGGCGCTTGTTGGTGCCATACCTGTAGACAGTTGGTGTCCATTGCACTATCGCAAAAGGAGGTGTGTACCGCTCTTTTTCCAGCTCTTTGGTGTAGACGTCTGTCTCGGGGGGCGGCTTGGAGAGCGCCGCGGGAATCGCCAGCGCAATCGCCTTGTCTTGGATCCCTTTGAACCGATTCTCGGAGCTACACGCCACGATAACGTTAGCGTGGTGACATGAAAGAGGACGTACTAGATGTCGCGCAGGCTGCGCTCGACTGCTTTCTGCGTCACGGCACGCTGCTTGGTGTCGGACATGTCGATTTGCAGCTGCAGTTTGGGCAAGCTACTGCTACAATATACGAGATCTTAGAGCCGCCAAGTACGTGAATAGCTATCTCTACCTGTAGCGGTCCAAGATCGACGATTTCGACTTGGTGAGTTTTTTCGGGGGTAGCTCCGGATGGTTCTCGGGTTCTTGCGGTGGGAGTGGCAGAGGCACCTCGGTCTCGGACGGGTCTTTGTTCTTCTGGCTCGGACGTCGCACGGGGCTTTGGGTCGAGTGAAAGGCGTCCTTGAACGAAAATTTCTTGCCTACGCCACATTTGTCCAAACACGACCCTTTTCGTGACAAGAATCCCACTTTTCTTCATGGGCGATGGGGAAATGAGAACACTCATGGGTTGATTGGCCGCGCGGGATTCGTACATTTCGTTCAAATGCAGCACAAAGTCCACAAAACACTCGATCGTACTCTGCTCGTGGGTCTTGAGGCGATTCAACGCTGGGCGACATCTAGCACAATAGTTGCTGCTCCACGACGCTCTAGCATTGGACTCTTACCGCTCGTGCATTTCCATCCAGACCTCCGTACTCGGTTGCGGTAAGGCCATCTACGCACAAAATCCTAGTACGGGAACTCTTATTCTGACAATCTGTACGTGCTCGAGGTCCGACTGGAGCGCGTGGACAGTTCGTGTGAGCTGGTGGTGCTTGCAAAATTCTTGAACGAGGAGCAAGCTAAAGTCGTGGACCTTTTGCTGCTCGATCCCAGGCGCAAAGGGCTGCACGGGGGTCTCGGTCATGGCCATGGCGCTGGGGGCCGTTTCTGTCGTGATTTTTATCCAATCCAAGCGCGTGTATAGATATGGGACTCGATCATTGGCGGAAACTCAAAGGGTTGGGCGGGCAGGTTGATCACATGGGTCTCTGCACCGGATAGAGCACCCATTGCCAGGTGTCAATATTGTCATGTCTAGAGTCGACGTATCTGCAAGCGACTACTTCTTTGCTTTTATACTACTACCGGGTTTTTTCAGTGACGCCGGTTTGGGCGGGCTCTGCTTCTTCAAGCCTCGCACCGCCGAGATGCCGGACCCCCCGACGGCAACCTTGGACGGACTCGTCTCGGTCATTATTATTGGTGCGGTGATGTCGGTGTTGCCGACAACTACTGGCTCGGTGACGACGACAACGGGGGGCTTGATGACAATGTCGACTGCAGTTGGCGATGGCAACCAGACAGGCTTCCCCTTGCGCTCAAGTCCATCAAGGAGCGCGACAACCTCGGCGTCCGAACGAGGCGGCGTTGCGAGCAGCGTATCGTACTCGTCGCCAAAAGACTTGTCGAGAAAGCACTGTCGCTCGGCGACCGCGACAGCGTCGGGGGGTGGCTTGTCCATGAGTTTGACCCGCGAGAGCACAAATTCTTGGACTGCGGCGCGGAGTTCGCCATCGCCCAGGACCCGCTTCTCGACGACAGTGGAGAATGGTTTTCCTTGCTTTTTGTTTTCGAGCACTTGGTACAACAGCGGCGCATGGATGCATATCGGGCGGTACTCCTGCATTTCCGATATTTGGTGGCTACGACTCTGCACAATACTGCAATACCTCGTTCGTGGTGACGTTGACGGACAAGACGAGCAAGAGCTGCTGCGCGCGGAGCTCCAAGAGCCGAAACTCGATGCGCTCGTTGGAGCGCCAAAAGAGCTTCTCGGACACGTGCAGCTGGCGGCGCTCGCGGGGCGAGTAGAGTTCGCTGAAGGTCGGCGGTGCCTTGGGCTTGGCGCCGCCAAACTGCCGGCTAAAGTCGTCCATGCTCATCGCGGGCGGCCCGCCATCCGCCTTTTTGTGCATCAAGTAGTGGAACGCAGCAAACTCGGCCATGACGACGGTGCGTCGGGATTCCCGCCAACCGTTTCGCCACAAAAATGCTTTTATGACACCTTCAACCACCGGGTCTAAGGTCACCTTGGGCGATACTTGTCATTCACAAGCGAATTAGGACTGACTCGAGTCGGCAACGACCCTTACGAGAGCGCCAGTTTGCTGCTGCTCATTGGAGGAGGCAGAGGCAGAGGACAACAAACCTCGTGGATGCACGCTGCTGATGGCTCCAAGTCGACCGCCTTTTGTTCCGACGGTGGGCTCTTGAATCCAACGCAGGAGGTATGCGACGAAAGCTGCGTATGTGGTGGTGTCCCTCTCTTCTATTCCCATTGGCAGTTGTCGTTGGCATCGGAGCCACCAAGTTGGTTCTGGCAGTCGATGCGTTGCTCCCAATGCTGCATATTGCTTGGGATTGGACGTGGCGTCGGTGCATCGATCACCACGGGCTTAGCTCTCGGGCTTATGGAGAGACGTCGTTGTCTCGGAGTGGATGTCTACCTTTTGAGCTAGGACAAGGTCGCGTGACCGAGACACAAGGAAAAATGGATGGGGATACTCTCAGGCAGCATTGCATTAGCGTCCAGCACTTTAGTTTTCGGTCGAGAACTTGTACGTGACGTGGCACTTGCCGCAGTAGTGGCGGTCAAAGTGCGTGGCCATGAAGACGCCGGCACCGCACTCGGGCGACGGGCACTCCTTCTTCAAGCGCTGGATCTGGCCGTTGTCGTTGACCTTGTAGAACTTGAGGACAGCGAGCTTGACGTTCTTGTGCTTGCGCTTGACCTTCTTCGGCTTGGTGTAGTTCTTCTTTTTGCGCTTCTTGCCACCACCACGCAGGCGGAGGACGAGGTGAAGCGTCGACTCCTTCTGGATGTTGTAGTCGCTGAGCGTGCGGCCATCTTCGAGCTGCTTGCCGGCGAAGATGAGGCGCTGCTGATCCGGCGGGATGCCCTCCTTGTCCTGGATCTTCTGCTTGACGTTGTCGATCGAGTCCGAAGGCTCGACGTCCAACGTGATGGTCTTACCCGTCAACGTCTTGACGAAGATCTGCATGTTACTATAGAGCAATGGAGCATGAGCGATGGCGGAGGCGGTGGCGTCGGCGTCGTACCTGGCTGAAAGTATTTACAGAGTGATTCGCCGCTCAATTGCCGCCAACCACGCCCACGCCTGAGGACCAATGGCCTGGCGAGGGCCTAAAGACGCACCTAATAAAGGGTGCTCTAACAATAATATAAATGATCGACAAGAGTACATACAAATAAAGCGGTATATAGCGTATCGGTTCGATAACAATTAGGTGCGTAAATGCGAAAAGATGATATTCCATGGGCTGGTAGCGGGGTTGAGGCTAATATCACGCCACGAAGGCGACAAGGCTGACATCCCGGCTCGATGGTTCATCGAGAAGTACCTTCCGCAACTCGCGCGATAGCGTATCATTGGTGCATGTAGAGCACGCGCGCCACGCGGCTACGATGCGTTGTCCTGTTGTTGGGGGCAAAGCGTACCGACCCCACAGGTTGCGTGTCACTAGTGTATGAATGTTGGGACAGTTCAAGGTGCGCATACTGTGAAAATGCATCGGATCAATTCTGAGAGGTTGCGCCGGCTGGCAGACGCCAACGAGGAAGAGCACAAGCCGGCGACGACGATGGCCTACGTGAACCCCATGGCGGCGACGGGCGTCGAGCCCAAGCGTATGCAGCTGCTGCGCGCGATCCTTCGCAAGGCGCTTGACGCCTCTGTGAGCGAAGCCAGCGCGCTTGAGATGACCGATTACCTGCCGCTGACCAACACAGACTTCCAAGATGAAGTCGGCGTCCAGGTCATCCAGAACATTCGCCACCGCATTGAGGTACGTTGATGGCATCTCAACCTCAAACCCATACTGCATGACGCTGGACAGGTCCAATTCGACGCGCTCTGCAGCCAGTATGGGCTCTGCGAGAAGTTTGCCGAGCTCGAGACGCTCATGGCCTGGGACGAGCAGTCGCACTTGCGTCAAGAGGCTGGCATCCAAGCAGCGTACGTACAAGCTCTAGCATCTGCCGTCGCTTCACCGAAACGTACGTAGGACTCCGCAGCGCGTCGAGCCGCAGACGCCGCAGGACCTCATGACCATCGAGCGCGTCCGCCTCATTCGCCAGGAGAAGAAGCGCCTCGAGCTGCAGCTCCACGAAGTACGAGTTGGCATCTTGCTACAGCTCAGGCTAAGCGTTCTGGACGTAGATCCACCAAGCCAACACGCAGCTCGAGAAGACGATGGCCGAGACCCACGCGCACGGCAGTGGCCTGCTCCAGGCCATGGAAGCGCGTCTCGACACGATCAGCCGGGTTCGAGCGTTGCTCTCTTACGTCGCACCTCACCTTGCACGTGATCTAGGCGTCGCAAATCTCCATGACTTAGTGGCATCGGCGACTCATGACCGTCGAGGCAGCGTACTTGTAAATTAATCTCGTATTCTACTCTGCCTTCGCGCATGAACTGCCTTGGCATCCCGGCTTTCTATGCTGCTCGAGTACTCTACCTGCAGCCATGATCTGCAGCACTATCGGCAGACGCGGGATCGTCTGCCTCTCTCAATCTCTTATCACGCCGACATGACCGCCGTCTTTGTCCTCTGGTGACCCCTGCCACGCTAAGCTTTCGATCTGAACGAGTCAGAGCATGCGACTGCGTCGTCGGTCCTGCGCCGAGCGAGGTGCGCCATTGGGCGTGCAACGACGCGTTTCAAAACAGAGTTTGAAACACTGTTTTGGATCGCGTGGTTCTAGAAAGTGACATCCGGATACAGACGCACTGGCCGCGGCGCAGTATCCGGATATCAACCGCAGGCTCGATCTGCCGACCACACCTGCTTATCATGGCGAACCCCAAGGCCGAAGCGAAGAAGAAGTACGTGCCCATGCTGCTCCTGCTGCTGGTAGATGGTAGATATGATGCTCAGCCTATGCATCGTCTAGCGAAGGCAACGAGTACTTTAAGCGCAAGGAGTACGCGCCCGCGATCGACAAGTACTCGGAGGCCATTGCGCTCGACAGCACCAACCACGTCTACTTCTCGAACCGCAGTGCTGCGTACGCGGGCCTGGGCAAGTTTGCCGAAGCCGCCCAAGATGGCGAAGCGTGCGTGCGCATCAACCCGTCGTTCGTCAAGGGTACGCCATGCCATCGTGGGCTATTCGCGACGTCTGCATGCAGGCTACCACCGCTACGCGCTCGGGCTCAAGGGCCTGAAGGACTACGCCAAGGCCCTCGAGATCCTCAAGGCTGGCCAGCGCGTCGACTTTGACAACAAGGACATCAACAAGCTCGTCAACGAGGTACCATAGCTACGATTTTCGCCGCCAACCATCGCCAATCGCCTGTCTAGATCGAGCCGCTTCTCGCCAAGGTGCAAGCGGCCAAGCGCGCCGGCATGAACCCGTCCGAGCAGCTCAAGGAGCAAGGTTATCGCAGCATTCTACGATGGGCTGACGAACCGACCTAGGCAACGACTTGTTCAAGAGCGCGCAGTTTGAAAAGGCCATTGGCGTCTACACGGAAGCCATTGAAGCGTGCGAGAAGGACAGCTCGCCCGTCGCGATCTCGTGCTACAACAACCGCGCCGCATGCCACCAGCAGCTCAGCAACTTTTCCGCTGTCATCCGCGACTGCTCGCATGTGCTCGACGTCGAGGTAAGGATGCAGCACGTTGCAGTTCTCAATGACACCATGATGGTAGCCGACCAACCAAAAGGCACTGCTGCGTCGTGGGTTGGCGTACGAAGGCCTTGAGCGCTACCGCCTCGCGCTTCAGGATATCCGCGCGCTCCTCGCGCTGGACCCGTCCATCGATGTACGCTCTCATATCTATGATAATATGCTCATGGCTACGATGCCTAGACTGCCAACAAGGCCCAGCACCGGATCGGTGCGGCCGTGCGCGCCCTCAAGGACATGTAGAGTCATCATTCTTTGCTAAATACTACTATACGAGCGCACAACCACCGCGTACAAGCTGTCGTTGTGGCCTCCCCGTCCACCTGCGGTGGTGACAAGCCAAGGGACGCATAAAGGCAAGCAGAGCGTTCCGACGGACAGTTTGAAGCTGACCAGTGGCGAAGCGAAAGCAGATTGCCCAGTACTCGAGAGAGCCGACTGCGGGTTTGGAGCATGCTCCTATCTATTTAGTTTAGTTTAGTTTATACTAGTACAGCTGCACTACAGTGTTAGTAGCGTCTTGGAGACCCTTGGCTGTTCCACGCGTGGTTTAGGGTTGGGCTCGTTCGCGATCGTTTTAAGCTTATCGTATTCTGTATGGTGACCTTCTCTCTCTTCTGCACTGCTATCTACGTCGACGACAAGAGACGCTCGTCCTTCCACTTCGCTTCACGCCCACATCCACAGACAACACTTGCAGCTCTTGCTCGTGTCGTAGAGCTATCGTTGAGAGGCCCCTCTGCGCTTCCATTGTGTGATGCGAAAAGGCTCGAGGTCTTGTTGGCACTGCAGGAACGTGTGTATTTGACCGATGCGCGATATCTTGCAGCTGCAACTCCCGACGTCGGTTGGTGGCTTCCTCTACGATGCCGTCGCTCTGCCGTTCTCAGCCCACAAGCCGGCCATCCGTGCTCTCTGGCCGATCTTGCGCGCTTGCGTTTGGTACAGTCTTTGGCTTGAACGCAACAACCGCGTGTTCCGCACGACATTGACGCCCCTACCCGCTGCTGCGCTCGCGATCAAAGCCGCTACTATCACGCGATTGCATATCCGACACTTGGCTCGCCGCGCCGTGGTGCCTTCGCTTGCCGAGTCGCTCCACACCCTATGCGCCGACCCTTGGTGTGCTCGCTACCTCATTCCCAACTCAATCCCGAGCCCGACCACGGCCCTCAGCGTGACGTACCGGCCAAACCTCAGTAGCGCACTAGGAAGTCCACCATCTTCACTATATAATTGCATGTCCATACTAGTAACTCATTTCAACAGGAACGTGCGCAGCGAGGGTACGCGGGCCGACTGTTGATGTAGACTGTTGCACATTCGTGCCTGGACTGTCGTTGTTCGTGGCGGAGTTGTATCGCATCCACTACATAGATAGGTGATGATGCTAGGTAAGACATATGCGAGGTAAACGTTGAAGTAGCTTTGAAATTACGATGTTCGTGTCTCTCCCAAGACGGACTTACAATGGACGAAGAAGGTCCAGCGAACCAGCTTTTGCAGATCCAAATCCTTGCCATCGTACGTGTTTGGCCACGGCGCTCTATCCTGGCATCTCGAACAAGATTAACGACAAACGCATCTAAACCTGTAGACAGAAAAGTTTATAGACCATCTGGCACTTACAAGCTAGGTGGCGTCGACGTGAGGTCCGAAAAGGCCGCGTGCAAAGACAGCCGCGACACCCGCTACGACAGCCGGCTTGGCAAGCCAAGTACCCAGCATCCTCGGCCATGCGTCCGACACGTCATTTGCTCAAGAAGGCTCGTCGGGACCCACCGTGCACGAGTACTAGTTGGCGTCAAGAGCACCAAGGCTACGTGCTCTATGCGATCATGCAGCGGTCCGAACCGTCTGTTCTTTGGGTAAGCGTGGCCGCTCGTCGTCCGTTGATCCCTTCATCCATGCGTTGAGCGATAGGACACTCGACGAGCGACGGCCTGTCTTTCGAGACGTGTGAGTCTGGTCATGGTGGCACACACAACGATCAGCTGGCGCCATGGCAGCCAACACCCAAGTTGGCTGTACTGCGGTAGAGACCGACATAATCTGGTCATCCCGCGTACACGAGCCTCCTGCATTCACTATTCAATTCGCCACCAGCACCAATATGAAGCTTTTCGCCACTGCCTTTGCCGCGCTTGCCGCCGTCGCCTCGATCACCAACGCTTCGGTCACCGACGACTCGGTCACCGACGCCTACCTCGTCGGGCTCTTCGAGTCGGCGGACGTCCAGGTCGACATGAAGGTCAACCCGGCCACCGAAGCGTACCTCGTGGGCCTCTTTGAAGCGTCGCAGGTGCTCTCGGCCAAGTACATTTGCGGCGCGATCGGCAAGGACGTCTCTAAGGTCCAGTTCGTCTTCGCGGAAGGCACGACCAAGATCGAAGCAGGGGCCACGGGCAAGGTCGAGTACTTTGTCGAGAGCGCCGGAACCAAGGCCACGGCGTGCTCGATTAGCATCGCTGGCCACGCGCCGGTGCGCCGCCAGCTCGAGGATGTGCAGCACATCTGGCCCTGGCCGTTCCTCGAGTCGGCCAACGTCACGGGCATCTCGATCACGGGCTCGCCGGCCGCGCCCAAGACCGTCTCGGCCGACTTGTCGGCCCGCGGTGCGAACCTTGGTATCACGATCACGCCCCCGTCCACGGCCGGCGCCCAGGACGCCACGTTCAAGGTCGAGATGTTTGTCCTGGACTAAGCCTCCCACGTAAATGTACACCCGTTTTGCCGTGTCTCGTGTCGAGCTGTTTTGTGTATGTATCAAGTTGATTGGTTGGGTATGTATCAAGTTGATATATTGGGTGCAAAGTGCAGAAAAACAGTGAAATTTTGTTGATATTTCCGTGGGAAAAGAAGGACTCGGTCCAGAGAGAGCGCTGGTCCACGCGTTGCATTCGTTGATCGTTGAACCGCTCAGGTTGGGTCGGTCCAGCAACCAGAAGCACGTGCGAACGCTGTCCCAACACTCGTCACATTCTAGTCGAACTCGCTGATTAGGTTATCTACTACTCGTGCATATGTCTTTTATAGTCTTGGCATTCGTGCTGCAACCAGATATAATAATTGGCAGAGTGTTTGCCGCAGTTTGATTTGACAGGAATGCATGTAATTTTGACCGACATTCTGGTCGGGACGCAAAGTCATTGGCCATTTCGAGTTTGCCCTTCCGCTGTCATGGCCAAAGCAGCCGTCGTCGTGAGCGTCGTCCTTGCATTCGCTGCTGCGACCTCGCCGGACCCGTTCCACTGGCGGCCCTGCGCCGGCAACCCCGACCTCCGCACCGAGTGCGGCTACCTCACCGTGCCCCTCGACCACCTCAACGCGACCAACGAGGCTACCATCGACATTGTCGTCCAGCGCTACCGGTCGACGGCCGCCAAGCCGCTCGGTACAATTCTTCTCAACCCGGGCGGCCCCGGCGGATCGGGTACGGTACTTGGCTCACTGCCCATGAGCTTGCTCACGGGCGGCGCATACGACGTTTTGGGCTTTGACCCTCGTGGCGTCGGCAAGTCGCGGCCGATCACGTGCGCCAAAAATGGGCTGGCAGCGTGGGAAGCGCGGCAGATGTTCCCCCGCGCCAACGCTCCGTTTTTGAATGCCCTCTCAGACGACCAAGTGCATCGGTACAGCAGCGCGTACGACCCCGTCCTCGCGCGCTGCCGCTACTACGACGGCGACTACCTTCCATACCTCTCGACGGCGTTTGTGGCGCGTGACATGGACCTCATGCGCGCGGCGCTGGGCCAAGACCTTTTGCACTACTTTGGCTTTTCCTACGGCACGTACGTCGCTCTCAGTCTTCTCTATAGAGGACAATTTTGTATATCATATGGATGGATGACTAGGGTGCTCGGTGCAACGTACGCCAACATGTTTCCGCACCGCGTCGGCCGCTTCGTCATCGACTCGGTCGTCGACGCGACCAAGTACTCGGCCGTAAGTGCGTCGTTTTGGGCTTCGACAATCGCCAACGTGGAAGACGTTTTGGATGGCTTTGCCGCCGAGTGCGAAGCCGCGGGGCCGCTTGTTTGTCCGCTTGCTGGCCACGACACGCCGCTCGCGTCTCGTCTGCGGTCATTCGTCCAGAACTTTGCCCCAAGCGTTGGCCGTGGCGGGTACGACGTCGTTCAGTTTACGCCCATGGATCTGTTTGCCCTTCTCTTCCCGCCCATGTACCAACCAGTAATGTGGCCCAAGCTCGCGACCGACTTGCACCAGCTCATGCAAGGCACGTACGTGGCACCACCGGCGAGCGATGTGTGTCCGTCGCAGCTCGAGGCCCGCGACGTTGGCTTGAACGGCTTTGCGTTCATGGGCAATGACGTGGACCCGACGACCAACACGGCGCAAAGCTGGGCCGACGGGCTTCGCGCTGCCCAGAAAATTTCGCCGATCTTTGGTGGCGCGTGGCTTGGCGCGCTCATGATGACCAAGTACTGGACGACGACGCCGATCGAGCGGTTTGCAGGCCCTTGGAACCAAACGCTTGCCAACAAGATTTTGATCCTCAACAACGTCCACGACCCGGTCACGCCACTAGTCGCTGCGCAGCACATGCACAGCGTCTTTGGCACCAACAATTCGGTCTTGGTGGTCCGTGACGGCTATGGCCACGGCGCGTCCGTGTCGCAGCCCAGCGCGTGCATGCACGACATTGTGACTGCGTACTTTTCGCACGGGCGTCTGCCGACCACGACGTTTTGCAAGGTCGACCACGGACCGTTTGCAGCACCGACCGCGCGTTCCGCCGTTGTTCTCGCCGCGCAAGAGGTGTCGACGATTCTCCACAAGGCGCATCCGGGTCGCAGTAAGTGAATACGATCATATTGATACGATCGACTTTGCGGTCTGTCCTGCGTGGGTATTGTCATTCTCAAAGGATAAAGGAATAACAAACAAAAAATATACTTTGAGTTGACGTACGAACTACTCTCCTGTGCTAAAAAGGGCCGATACCTGAAGTTACAACCTCCATCCAGCCACGTTTCGCCACCTCTAGCGTGTGTTTCCGGTCTAGTCTGTATATTTGGTGTGCCCACATCGTCTTGTGCTCTGACATCAATAGTTCACGCCCACGGCCGACCATCACGGTCGCACGACGGCAGAGCAACCTCGTGCAAGGGCCCGATCTCCGCCGACTCCTAGCACAGCATGGCGGAGTTGCGCTCCTATCCCCGCGAGCGTAGACTCGGTAATGTTGGTGTGAAAGAATAGCGAAGCCAGAAAATTTCTGGCTTCGCTATTCTTTCACACCAACATCGTCCCGTCCAACACGTTGCCTCTTCGCGACCTAGAAGGCAGGTATTGCCGCTGCCCAGGCATATGGATCCGCTCGGCTTTGCTTGCGGACCTCATTGTGGCTCGGAGAATAATATTTGCCAACGCAGCGGCGTCTTGCGAAACGGTCGCCACTGCTTGGTCTCTCACAGATGTTTAAAACATCTGCAGACGCAACGTGCGGCCAGAAATTGCGAATCGGACCTACGACGATAGTCTTTAGTCAGGAGCACACGTTGCCGCTCTGTACGTATCGACAAGTCGCATTGCTATCTCTCTCGCTCCATTTAATAAAACATGGGGTTCAAAACACAAGTGTTTTCGTGGCGGCATGAACACGGACCGATCGATCGATGGGCTCGTCGGAGGTGGCGTCGCCCGTATTCTTTCTCACGCTTGCAGCGATCGGCAGCGTATCGACCCCGACCAGCAACGACACTCGACCCTTTGTTTGATTTTCTCTGAATCTCCGAGCCCCTCCTCCTTTTCGCCCTCGGCTACCGAAACGATGTGGCTCCAGAAGACAATTTTTCTCGAACTCGCCGCCAAAGGAGCTTCTCTCATGTGTATGTGGGCATGCAGTCGCCGCCTTCACATCGCCGTCATCGCGAGATGCTCCACGCGTACGTATACTAAAACAATGTATACGCGCATCATGAGCTCAAATACGATCGGTCATCAACCAAAACAATGTCGAGTAAACGACGCTGCTGCTTGTCCGCATCCATTCGCAATTGCACTCGACACCCGCCGATCGGTGAAAATCATCCTGGACCGGGATCCGTTCACTGGACGACCGGTCATTTATCCGGACAGCGCTGCTGGAGCGAGCTCCCGTGGCATCACGCCGCTCCAAACGGCTCTAAACGGATGGCCTTGGGCGCCGACCAAACGCCAACTAAGAACTAGTAGGTCGACAACGTGGCAAGCACACTCGCTTGGGAGCGCATCTCGCACCTAGGATCTTAGTCGCACGCCAGCGTGAAGATTCATGATTCGGATGCGAGCCCAGATTCGAGCCTCATGTAATCCACCTCTGCTGGTCAGTCCAAGGTGCTTTGCCACCACAAGCACCTTCGCGCGCCCGTTCGACGACGTTCGCGAATGATATTTGGCTTTCTGATCCCGCGACGCCGACGTCACGACGCCAAGGGCAAGGACACGACAAAAAGTCGAACATCCGCAGTAGCTTTTTCATAAATAAAGAACATTGGGTGGCGTATCCCGAATGGATGGTCCAGAGGCGACGTCGGATCGGCGAGGGTCGAAGCGGCGACCTACAGCTCCGGCGGTGTATAGATACGCATACAACTGCAGCGCGCTGCGACGGACGCGCGGCTACCAATCGCCGTCCTCGATGGGCGCAGAAGCTACTCGCGCCGCGTCCAACAGTCCGAGAGGGAAAGGCAGTCGCATCCGGATACGGGCAAGAAATCCACCCGCAGGATATCGGCCTGCGTTCTTTTATTCAAATTTAAAAACAAACTAAAAAAGAAGAAGAAGATCGCACGTGAAACGTGGGGCCATGAGCGATTGTGGGTCGCTGTGGCGTCCATCACGGCGCCTTTTGGCTACAGACACTGCGAATTTGCGCACTTGTATCGGTTCTGGCGCGAAAAGCAGCGTCCGCAACCGACGCGTCTGTCAACCGCAGTCGCAGAACAAGTAGACAGCTAGCGTGCTCGTAGCTGTAAAGAGCGTAGAGGCACCACTGCACGCACCATCTTATCGACGACCAGAGAGCAGCGAGGTCCTTGACGGCAGTGTAACTCACACTGCCTGCGCGTACTTGTCATGCGCAGCGTAGAAAAGCCTAGCTCGCTAGTGGCGAGTCGCCACCATCAACTTGTTGACAGTGCCGTTGTGGTGGTCGTGCCACTGGCCGTCGCAGCTCTCTCGGTCCCTTGCATTCGTGTTTATACTCGGCACGTCGTCGTCACCTCGATCACGTTGCAGTTACGCTCGCCGAGGTTGCAGTTGCGGTTGCAGTTGGCAAGGACCCTTGGCGTCTTCCATGCGTAGCTTGAAGCTGGCAACCCGCCCTCTCCCAAGGGCGGCGCTGGTCACTGCGGTCGCCACCTCGCGACATTGCATTACGTTGCGCCCGGTTTTATACGCGAGTATAAAAAAGAAAAAAATGATTAAAAGAATTCTATCGCTGTTTTTTAATGTCCGATGTGCGAGTTAAAGAACGGCCCGCGGTTCAACGTCGGTTTATCCGGATGAAAGATTCGATATTTTTTTGCCGTAAAGATCGCAGCAGTTTACGATTTCACTCGCAGCGATGAAGTGGACGGTGCTGGCAGCGACGCTGAGCATGGCGCTCGCCGCGACCGACGTCGACAGCGACAAGCACAAGCCGGCGCCGACCAAGGCGCATGCGGCGCCCAAGGCCACGGAGCCCACGTCGCCGGCGGGCATCCAGTTCCGCGACTTTGTCGCGCATGACGACACGCAGACGTGCTCGCAGGACATCCACTCGACGCCGTTCAACGTGCAAGTGCGTGGCACGAACCTCGGCGGCTGGCTCGTCCTCGAGCCGTGGATCACGCCGACGCTCTTTTACCAGTTCCTCGGCACGCAGGAGCGGTTTGGCGACCAAGCGCCCGAGAAGACGGCGATGGACCAGTACACGTTTTGCACGGCCTTGGGCAAGGAAGAGGCCAACCGCCAGTTGCGCATCCATTGGAACAACTGGGTCACGGAGGCCGACATCAAGGAGATGGCGTCGTTTGGCGTCAACTCGCTGCGCATTCCGGTCGGCGACTGGATGTTTGTGCCGTACGAGCCGTACATTGGCTGCACGGACGGCTCGATCGAGCAGCTCGACCGCGTCCTCGACCTCTGCGACAAGTACAACATCAACGTGCTCATCGACATCCACGGCCACATTGGGTCCCAAAACGGCTTTGACAACAGCGGCAAGACGCACCAGGTCAAGTGGACATCGCTCGCGAGCACGCAGCCGGTGGGCACGACGACGTTTGAGCACTGGCCGATCCGGTACGCCGAGTGGGCCGGCACGTTTGACCCGATCAACCACAACTACTCGTCGATCAACTACGCCAACTTGAACCAGTCGCTCACGGTCGTCAACAAAATCGTCACGCGGTACGCCAACCACCCGGCGATCCTCGGGCTCCAGCCGGTCAACGAGCCGTGGGAGCTCACGCCCATTGACGTGCTCAAGAACTTTTACTGGGACTCGTACAAGGTGACCAAGTCGCTCGCGCCGTCGTGGAAGTTTGTCGTACACGACTCGTTCCGCTTTGGCCTGAGCTACTGGTCGCAGTTCATGAAGGGCTGCCCGGACATTGCGCTCGATACGCACATTTACCAAGCGTGGATGAACCCTGGTACGCGCTTCGATCCTCACTCTGTTTTGTTTATCCTTGGTGCGTGTAGGCAGCGCCGAAGACTTCAACTCGAACGCGTGCCAGCAAAAGTACACGATCTCGGACATGGAGAACGCGCTCATGCCCGTCATTGTCGGCGAGTGGTCGGTCGCGACCGACAACTGCGCCATGTGGCTCAACGGCTTCAACGACAACCTCCCGGGCTTTCCGAAGGTCATGTGCACCAACCAGAAATGCCCCGTCGACTCGACGTACCTCGGCTACGGCTTTCCGGGCACGCCGCTCGACGTGACCAAGCCGATCCAAGGCCCGTACGGGACCGGCACGTCCGGCCCGTCGTTTGGCTACTGCCCGGTCAACAGCCAGACGTCGTTTGACAAGGACCACCTCGCGTTCACGACCGACATGGTGCGCAAGAAGCTCAACGCGTTCCAGGTCGGCCACGGCTGGTACTTTTGGAACTTCAAGACGGAGCTCGACATGACGTGGAACTTCATTCAACTCAACCGGCTTGGCGCGTTCCCCAAGAACGTGAGCAACTACGAGCCGGGCGAGGTCGACAATGCGTGTCTCGCCGAAGACAAGGGCGAGTTTGTGTGCCAGGCCAAGCGCGGCGTCAAGGCGTTTGAGCTCGAGAACGGCCTCAAGTACGCGTGCAACTGCCCCGGCGTCGACTGCAAGGACATTGAGACCAAGTACGCGACTTTGGTTGAGCGCTGCGACTACGCCTACAACGCCTACTGGCACCTCGAACGCGTACGTCGCCATGCACCGAGCGAGGCTAACGCAATGTGTTTCTGAGTGTAGACCAAGGGCGCGACCTGCGATTTCGGCGGCTCGGCCCATCTGATCTCGATCCCGTCCAACGTGTCGTATGCGACTGTCGACTCGATTGCGTCGGCCGACATTGCCCATGCGACGTGGAACACGTTGATGGCGTCCGGCGGCTTCATCCTCGGTGGCATCGTCGGCGTCGGCTTGACGGTGCTGCTCCTCACGATGCACCGCAAGAACGCTGCGCGCAAGATGTACTACGGCCGCAACCCGTCCGATGTCGTGCTCATGGGCGACCGCGCCAACGGCGAAGAGCGCACGCCACTCGTCTCCAAGTTCTAAGTTGCTGCAGTTATCTCCATCTCGTCTTTGCATGTCGTACGTAGCGTCTTGATGCGGCGTGGCCAAGTTGTCAAGGCAGGGTACCGTCATCTCGCGTCGGGCGAGGAGGACCGAGCGATATGATCGCAGCGGTGGGCATGTACGGCGACGACGATGGCTTGGCGTCGAGAGTTGCGCTGGCCGAAGGGTGACATGCGAGCGGCGAACTTGAAGTGGCGCGAGCTCGTGGCCCGGCACTGCGCGCTGCTTGCGATGTGGAGGCGCATGACGCACTGAGCTATACGATGATGCAAGCCTCCTCACAAGAACGTCCTCGGTCGTTCCGGTACCAACATAGTGGGAACCCAGTACCTCGCCAGGCGAGAAGATGGTGCCATTGGCGCCGCCTTGACACCAGCGACGACGCCCCTACGTGGACGGAAGCTGCAGCATGGCGTCGGTGCGAGAGCGTAGAAGGCGACGATCGCGGCGGTGCCATGTAGTACGTGGCAGCACGACAACGATGCATTGAGTGAGGCGCGCACAGTAGCAAGTGCAATGTATTGTTGGCACTTAGGACGACCCGGCTTCGACGTAGAGGGCGTGGTAAAGGAGGTAGGCGTAGCGCGCGAGGACGTAGTAGCCAGGCACGGTCGCGAGAAAGATGAGCGGGCGCGGGCCGGCCTGCGTGACGCCGCCAGCATGCGCGAGGATCGGGTAGAGGAGACGGATGGCCACGTACACGTACCCGAGCTCGATCTCTTTGCCCGTCACGAGCGCATTCGCCCAGAAGAGCGAGAGGAAGACGCCTTGCCACTCGACAAAGTTGCCCACGGAGCGGTCGGCGGCGATGAGCACGTCGCTCGTGTACCGGTTGTAGCGCTCCTTCGTGCTCGTCGCGGCCTTGAGCGCCTTGAACGCCCGGACCGACCGGACCTTCCCGACCACTTGGATGAGGATGTTGAAGAGGAACGCGCCGGCGTACGCGAGCGTCACCTTGGCGGCCGCGACCGGGACGGTGACCGTGACCATGCTGGCGAAAATTGGCAACTGCCATCGTGCCACGATCAGACATTGGGTTGCGTGGTTTTAGACTACGGGCCAACACTGCGGCGGCGCTCGGCGACGGCCGCCATGGCCACGTGTGCTGTCCGCGCTGCACAGCTTGCAGTCATGAATTGTAGTTTGGATGTCAATCCTGCCAAGGACAATGTTGTATTGGTCTCATGCCAGCACTATGGTGGAGGCATGCACATGCCGAGCAAGGACAGTTCTCGCCGGGCGAATGGACGGCTGTATGCACATGCAGTGCGCCCAAGGGACACTTTAAAGCAGTGCCATGAGAGGCATGCTATGTACATGTACGAGTCGCTACGCTTGCAGGCGCAGCGCGTGGCGAGCGCACAACGGTGCTGCTGGTGGTCGACGCTAGGTGGCGTGATATTAGCCACCTGCACGTGCCAGGTTGCGGATTCGTCTTGAGATTTGTATTGCTCATCGTATGATGGCTTTGGTGGGATTCCCAATCATCCGGATAATCTGCACGGAACCGGAAAGATTCGATGCCAAGGTCGACCGGCGGCGACGGGCTCGATGGCGGCTGGGACACCTTCCTCGATGGCTTCGAGATGGGCGAGCTCAAGACGCTCTGCTACGCGCCGATCCAGACCAAGGTCGAGACGCGCTGGGAGCGTCGGAAGCGGCGCGAGCTCGCCGCCACGGTCGGCCATGCGTCCATGGCCTTTCACTGCTCATGCGCCTCTTCTCTGTGCATAGACAAAGCGCGCGTATCGGTACGTGGCGCTGCGTGCGAAGCCACCAATGGCAATCTTCACGTCCGAAGTACCGTACCCACTGCCGCCGTCGGCCGGCAAGGCGCAGGCGACATGGACGAGCTACCGGCGGTCGGTCTCGACGACGTCAACGACGCTAGTGCACCTCGCCAACGAGACGATCGTCGATGACTTTTATACGCACGTTTTGGCCGCGCATGAAGCGACGCTTGCGTGCGCGACGGCCGATGCAGTACACCTCGTGACGGCCTCGGGCCAGCGCGCTCGGCACGGTGTGCTCCACGCCTCCTCGCCATCCTCGTCGGTTGCAGCGCTCGGCTCGATTGCATGGCTCTCGTCCACGCAGCTCGCCCTTGGTGCGAGCGACGGCGCCTTGTACCGCTACGACCTCCCGACGATGGCGCGTCTCGATGTCGTACCCGCAGCGCATCTTGACCGCATCGACGTCATCGCCAGCGATGGCCACGGGTGCTACACGGGCGCGCGCGATGGCTCGATCGCGCACTGGGACTTCCGCCTCCCGCATCCGAAATCGTATGAGCGTACCGACCACTCGCAAGGCGTCTGCGGCCTTGCGCTCTCCGCCGACGGCACGCGGCTCGCGTCCGGTGGCAACGACAACCTCGTGTGTCTCTTTGACACGCGGCAGCGGCGCGTAGAGCACCTCCTGCAAGGCCACAGCGCCGCGATCAAGGCGCTGGCGTGGAACCCGCACGAGCGCTGCGTCCTCGCCACCGGCGGCGGCCTCGCCGACAAGAGCCTCAAGTGCTGGTACGCCGTCACGGGCGCGCTGCTCTGCTCGGCGCCCACGTACGGCCAAGTGTCGGCGCTGCTTTGGCCGACAAACCAAAAGCACGAGATCGTGACGGTCGGTGGGCTTGGTGCCGACGCGGTCCAGCTCTGGAGCTACCCGTCGGGCAAGCGCGTGACGAGCGTGCCAGCCCCATCGAAAGGGCGGCTCCTCGACGGAGCTCTCTTTGGCGACCACGTGGTGACGCTAAGTGCCGATGGCACGCTGCAGCAGTACGAGCTTGTGCTCGACCGAAAGCGGCGATCGCCTCCGTCCGAGACGGGGACGCCCGACACACCGGACGAACGACAACGTCGTCGCCGTCTTCGCATGTTGTGAGTGTAGTATGACACGTAGTGAACGAATGTCTCGTCTTTGTATCTCAAGCAGGCGCGTGCGACGTACGTAGCGTTGATGCAAGGACGTGGACGCTACCGTTGTCATGACTCAAGTGGGTCGAGCAGCAAGGCAGAGGGCGAGGTGCTCCGGAACGCTTTCACCTGCGACCACGAGGCGCCCGCGCGACAGATCCACCGCACTGCAGTCCCTACTAGTACTAGTAGCCCAACGTCCCGCGACGACCCCTTCGATCCCAAAGTGTCGACCTTCAGCGTTCCCACTGCGTCTTCAGCCACAAGGCCAGCGCACCTTGGTACAGGAGTCGTAGTCGTGCATATAAAAGTAGCAAGCTAAGCTCTAGTAGCAAGCTCTAGTAGCAAGCTCCAGTAGTTCGAGTAGCTCCATCACACCCTTGTGGTGCTGTAATCAACGGTGCAGTCATCCGCCATACTACGCCATAGTACGCGGTGTCGCTTGTTGCATGTGGAAGAAGCCAGTGGAGGCTTGGCGCCACAATTTAGCCAATCAGCACCGTATGTGGATAGCGTTCGCGTTTGATTGGCTGCAACGGACCTATCCCGTTTGCATTTCATTTTGGCCAATGGCCTTGCGCGAGCCGGTAGCATCTGGGCAGCCGAGGACGCCGCGAGGCAGGCGTGGTTGCCTTCCAGTCTGCGATCCACCACCACCTTGGTAAAAGCACAATGCAGGTTGTGACCAACTACCTCGTCAACAGCTCGATGGAGCAGCTCCTCTCGCTGCGCGCGTCGGCCCGCCTCCTCTTTGCGTGCCTCGCGGTCAACATGCTGCTGCAGGCGGTGTTCATCTCGTACAAACTCATCGACACGGTCGACGCCTCGACGTGGAGCTCGACGGCGCTGGTCTCTCTCGTGGTGTGCTACACGGCGTGGATCGTCATCTCGGCCATTGGCGGCGTCTGCGGGCTCTACTCGACGCACTACCACCACACGCCGTCGGCGCATTTGTGCCTTGGCGCGTGGCTGCTGCTCGTCGTCTTTCAGCTGCTCGAAGGCGGCATTGCGATCTTTTACCTCTCGCCCGAGGCAGAGTTGGGACCCGAGACGCGCCGCATGCTCGCTATCAACACGGCTGCGCTCATCGCGATCGAGGTTCTCTTTATTGTGTTCATCCTCGGGTACATCCAGCTGCTCGAGTACTGCGCGCCGTTCGACTACAACACGATCCTCGACCATGAGGACGCGCATTTCATGGCAGCGACCGAGTGCTCGTCGCCCAAGGTGCTCGTGCCGCTGCAAGACATGCCGACCACTTACGGCACCGCTAGTCATGTCTAAC